GCCGCAGTTTCAACCACTGGCCTAGAGTCTTTTTCAAGCACAGCTTTAATAACAGACCTTTCTCTTCCTGTACTTGCTGTTCTCCCTTATCTTGTTAGTTTTGAGCCTTTGTTCCCTGTTGAAAACTTTGATCTTTGGTGAGGGTTTGGCTGTCCCTCTGAGCTGAGTGTCAGTTCTGGGTCTGAGTAGCTCGTCCAGTCCCAGTTTTTCCTCGAGGCCACTGATAAAAATGATGGCGGGCTGTGGGAGGACAGACCCTGTGGCACCCTTCAGGGACCTTCCTCCCCTTCCATCCTGGGCGGGCCCTGGCTCAGCTCCCAGTTCTCCTCTGTGTTCCAAATCCAGCCATGTCCCGTCTTCTCCCCAAGGCGGTCAGAAGGTCCCCTGAAGGACCCTTTCAATAAATGGAATCACACTGTACGATGAGGGGCTTTTGTACTGCTCTTAGGTCCCCCCCCCCAAACCTGGGATAAAATATTTTGAAACTATTCTTAGTTTATAAACCAGAACACCGAGACACACGGAATTGATCTAATCTGCTTCCCCAGCAGGTCAGTGACAAAGTATGTTTTGACTTGTGTTACAGTTTCTGCAGGCCACTTGTCTTGCTATTCAGTGTGGCTTAAGTGCCCAGTGCGGTGGTGGAAAGTGCAGGAAGGTGGTAGCTCTCTCACGTGGGCGTGCCAGCCTGCCCTTCGGTGTGGTGCACAGCCAGCTGCATGGCTCCATGTTCTGTTACGCGATGAAGGGCCTGGAGGAAAAAGACATGTGTTTGACCTGCGCTTACTGGGCGGTGGTAGAGGGGGTGTGGGCAGGTCTTGCTGTGTCTCCTTGGATTCCCTGGCTGTCCATGTCCCCACATCCCTCTGCGTCCTTGGAGCAGGATCCTGGCCAGGCGGTGTTCCCTGGGGGGCAGTCCTGGGGGCTCTGTGCTCATGGGTAGCCTGGGAGGTGAGTCCCTGGAGAATCTGAGTCACTGGGTCCAGCCCCCCCCACCCCCGCCACCTCCTTTATGCTTCATCACAATAAAAAAAGTTGCCGAAACCTGTTTGGCTTTGTGGATAGAGCGTCGGCCTGCGGACTGAAAGGTCCCAGGTTCGATTCCGGTGAAGGGCATGTTCCTGGGTTGCGGCATGCCCTTCATTTTAATGCAGGGGGGCAGCTGATCGGTGTTTCTCTCTCATCGATGTTTCTAACTCTAAAAAAAAAATAATAAAAAGTGAAAGGGGAGTGATTTTCCCCCCTGCCAGGTGCCGTAATCGCCCTATCAGTATCTCAGGGGCAGCACTGTGCTTGTGCATTGGAGATGCTTCCTCAGGGGTTCCAAATATTGAAAGCTCCTAACTCGCCCCCGAACCTCCGGGGCTGGTGGGGGTTCCAGCGTGAGATGCGTGTGCAAGGTGAGCCCGGCACCCCCAGCCTTGGGATTGGGTCTGGTCAGTGCTAAAACCACATCCAGGAAGGTCCTATTTAGAAAGAAATGGAGTAATTTAAGGTGTGTGTGAGTCACAGAAACGATTGGGCCAAAGAGAGAGCAGCCATGGAAAAGCGACTGTGTGTGCGAGTGTGCATGTGATGTGCACGTATGTGATGTGTGTGTATGGGGTCACACACGCATGCTTCCTGCGGGCTCAGCACCTGCTTCAGCACCCGGACCGCAGTGCAGGTCCTCTAGGCGCCCTGTGCCTGCAGTGATAGCTGGGCTTCCTGAACCTCTGTTCTTGGGGTGTCACTCAGCCTCCCGGTGAAGATCAAGTGCATTGTCTGATCACCAGGAAGACGGCTCAAACTCCTAGGCGTTTTCCTTGTGATCTAATAAAGTGTTTGCTGCGTGCCGCCCCTGAGGCAGCTGTGTGTTCATGGAGCTTGGTGACCAGCAGGAAGGGCAGCCGGCAGCCGGGCTG